AACTAAAAATAACCCAACAGATCAGGTGACCGTGACAGTTAATGAATATTGTAAGATTCAATCTTTTTCTTTTACTAATATTCGTCAATTCGTGTTAAAAGTAGGTAATTTGTGCTTCCCCTTTCGTACTTCCTACTTACCCTTGAATGTTTATTTAATAAAATAAATTGCACTTTCGAAGTTCCAGCACTGTGAAAAACTCAGTATAAATTAATATAGGCTTTACTTTAACTTTATGTATAATGTATTTCACGCGAACGCGTGCAGCAGCGGCTCATTGACGAATTGCACTATCAGCTACTTGCCCTCCTTCCCACAATCACACTTCGTTTCGTTGCAACGTACGAGCCTTACGAGGTACGACGTTGCACTTGCCAGCGATGTCATTGAGCCGGAACGCGCCGGAAGCATTTACCCTTTACCAAATCGAGGCGCTCTTCCTAATTTGATTTTTACATTCATTCATATTTTAAAATTAAATATAAATAAAAAGAATTTACATTTATCTGTTTATATTTAAATTTTTTGCATTTTATGGGGCCCCTTTAAAGTTGGGGCCCTAGGCTAGCGCCTAGTGACAAAACCGGCCCTGGCTGCAGGTGTCACTTTTTGGCTGACCAAACGAGAGATTAAACTCTGTTACAAACACTTTTGTGTAAGTACTCTTCTTAATTTTGTACTTTTCGGGGCGCTTCTGCTGATCACATTCTTCTATGTAAAGCTGTGAGGAAACGAAATTAAGGGTGAGGAAATAATCTGCCCAAACCAGTAAATAAGATTTCCCCCAGATATTTCCACTTAATTTCGCCCCTCCTAATCGTCTTCCCCACCAGATCTCCAAGATATATATACCTGTGTCAGTCCAGTGTTTGTAACTTTTGCTTCTACCTTTACCAGTGCCTTTTGCTATTAACCAGCCTTATTTACCTGTCATTGATTACTGCACCTTTAACCGTCGTTCCATTTCCTGTAAAACCGTTGTTAACCTGCACCCCCTGTCGTTCCTTGTGTTGAGTGTGTTGCCGTTAGCCCTAGGGGGTTAATCGTAATTAGCCGTCGAGGTGAGTGAGTGTTTATAGTGTCATTAAAACAACAATCTTTCAACCCTTTATTAAAACGTGCAAGCCGTTACCTCTATTACTCTGACCAGTTCCCAATTCCCCGAGTAATTCCAGTTCCTAGGTGTACTCCCTAGCGAACGGGTTACTACAACAAGTATTCCTCAAGATTACCAGCTACTCTCCGTACGTTCCTACCTGTCCGTGTCTTCAAAACAAAATCGGAGCGTGACTCCTGGTTTTAAACGAAGTACACCTCCGTAGTATCTTCCCGTCGCCCCGTCCTGCCTAAACCTGGGGCACAGTGCTCCCGCCTACGTTAACCATAAGGGGCTGAAAGCCGTCACGTGAAAGGTTAGTTGTTACAGTTCGAACACTCACCCCGCAGGTTCTGTTGGTTACCCCGTTCGGGTGGCGCAGCCCTCAATCCCGCATCAATTAATTTGTTACATTCTAGACAGCACTGCACGTGGAAATTAACCTACAGTCCGACACGAAAACGGCATTGACAGCAAACCAGCTGACACGCTGGGGCCAGATAACTACCGGCAGATGGCAGTACTCCCCAAGTAAATACGAGGACTGCTCCGGAAATCTTTTATATTATTTTATTTTGTATATATATATTTTTATTTCTATTTAGCCAATACACTTTTAATTTTCTTTGCTCGCCAATTATTTCCCGACGCTACCCGAGGCTGTGGGCAAAAGCCGGAACGTACCCAGGGTTGCTCACATAATTTGGCGCGCCGAGCAGCGGACTCTGAACCTGCACCCTAAAAGGTATAATACATAAATTTGGTTTTATTATAGATAATACCTCCTGTACACCGGTCCAGAATTAATTATTTTTATTTATTTCAGCATTAACTTTATTTTTATTTTCCTGTACATATTAGTTTTAGGTATTTTAGTTTTATTGCCCGCTTTACCTGCAAAATCTTCTCTTTGGTTGGCGCTCGAGTACCCACCAGTCCGTTTAAAAATCCAAACAGAAGATGCCGGAAACTGAAACCGATCCAGTTGTACCTCCAGAAATGGACGTTAAATTTAGTTGGGTGTTTGCGTTAAAAAAGGAGCAACTGCAGACCGAGGCCCGCCGGTTTAAGTTAGAAACAGGGGGGAATGTTCCAGAATTACAACAACGGCTCGTTACCTTCTTGAAAACGGGGGAAGGCCAAGTTACGGACCCGACCCCAGCGCGTCCCAGATCACCCCGTCTCCAGGTACCTGTCCCCGTAACAGAACCACCGCCACCTAGGAATGATACGGCGAAACTATGGGAGCAAGTTCGGAAATGGGGCCTACGTTTCGATGGCAAAGGAGACCCAGTATCCTTTCTAGAACGACTAGAAGAATTAAGAATGGGGTATGGAATTAGTGATGCCTGTTTATTACCCACCATAGCCTTGATCTTTGGAGATACCGCTCTATTGTGGTACCGAAATTCCCGTGACCGATTTACCACCTGGGACGAGTTCGTCAAAGCCTTCCAGGATCAATTCTATCCCCCTAGGTATGCTTTTCGGTTGGAAGAAGAGATCCGTACTCGTACCCAGGGGTTGAAAGAAAATGTGCCCATGTACGTGACGGCCATGATGACACTTCTGCGCCGCCATGGTCACTATTCGCAGGAACAGCAGGTCGATTGTCTTCATGAAAATCTCCGACCCGAGTACAAGCTATACATTAAACGAAGAGAGGTGAAATCGGTATACGATATCCTGGAGATGGGAAAGGAATATGAACAGGTAGTGTCACAGAAGGATCTGATTAAGCCAGCTATCCTCAACAAACCTGCCGAAATAATCCCTAGACCTGCACCTCTACCCTTAGCCCGACCGACTCTTGCCAGATCTGCATCACCGCCATTACATCACCCGAACACCACCAGACCGCCCTTGTTTTCTACCCGTCCTGGCCCGAGAGTGATCGACCAGGAGGAAATCGAAAAGAGATTGACTGCTTCTTCGGGACACGAAAATCTTGCATCGGTCCAGTATAACCGAGCCGAAGTGTGTTGGAATTGTGGCCAACCGGGACATTGGAGATTCCATTGTAAGAATCCGTTTAGGAAATTCTGCTCTAGGTGCAACAAACCCGACGTCTATTCCAGCGAGTGCGATTGTAGACGCGCACCTTCGGGAAGCGCCAATCCGGATGCAGGGGATTTTCAAGGATGGCATGAGTGGCTTGCTACCGTTAAAAGTTTTTACCTGCCAGCACCTAGACCCGTAACCGCCATTAATCCCCCAGATACCAGACTCTTTATTAAGTTGCAGCTATGTAACCAAATGATTTCAGCATTAATTGATACCGGCTCCGCCCGAACCTATTTTGGAGCATCCGTTAAAAACATTTTGAACCGTAATCAAATTTACCCCACTTCTTTAGCCCAAGGAACTGCTGAGATGGCCGATGGAACGACTGTTGAAACCATGGGAAATTTCCAGTTCCAGGTTATTATAGCGGATCAGAGTTGGATGGTGAACGCGATTTACCTGCCTACCTTGAACGTTGACTTTATACTAGGATTAGATTTCCTGGGAACTTACCAAGCTCGCCTAGATCTTCGTAAGAGAAGCCTAGAAATCGGAGGAGGCTCTCAGGTGACGATGCAGAAGTCTCCGGTCGAAGTAGAAGCTCCCGACCATTCCAGAATCGCCGGAATTAGTAGCCCAAACGCCGAACAACTCCAGGCCCTTAATGATTTTTTGCAGGTGGAACGCCAGAAATTTCCCGATGCCCCAGGTCTCGCTAAAGGTGTACCTCGTCGCCTTAGTCGAAAACCCGATGCCGAGCCGTGTAAACAACGCTATTATTCCCCAAATCCCGCAATGCAGAAAATAATGGATGACAAGGTGGAAGGAATCGCTGCTAAGTTATCCAGAAAATACAGCGGTCCATATAGGGTAAGTAAAATAATCTCACCTGTGATAGTCGAATTGCAAGATCTGGGAAATCCCCGCCGGAAAAGCCGTGTCCATGTAAAGGAATTAAAAGCCATCCCCTCCAGCGATGATGAAGAATCCCAAGGGGGGGGGGAGCTCTTGGTGAAAGCTCAGAGCCGCCAAGAATCCAGTCCAGTCTTGCAACCATTAAGATGGCACCAGTAAAGAGAGTAAAGCGGCGGTCGAAAGTTAGAATTGCTCCGTGGTTTCCTCGGAGGTTTAATCCCGAGGGTTCTTCACCCGTAGCTGTTCTTTCGAGGAGCGTCCCACAAGAAGCCCCGCCGCCTCCGTCAGTGCAACCCGATGTTGAAGCATTAGCAGAACGGTTCAGCAGAGTGTTTGGAAGTCCAGATGTAAGGGAGGTGATCCCTCAGGAGTGGAGATGGGGAAGCCCGGCAAGCCTTCCTATGACTCCAACTGCATCCACCCCTCAAGCAGCCACGCCGTCGCCCTTATGGGATACCCCCATACTGTCTTCGCCTGATCCGGAGTTGGTGGCTGTATGCAACCGGGCCTTGGACTGTGAGACCACGGCGAACCGTTTGGCCAGTTTGGACTTGGGAATAACTCCGCTGCCTGGTATGTCTACCGTGCCAACTCCCAGCCCTCTTCTCCAGCAGCCTGCGGTGTCCATCCGAAAGAAGAAAAGACGGTCCCGTAGCCAGACTCAACGTAAAAAGGCTAACCAGCGCCGAGTACTCGTGGGGGTCAGTCTTGGAGGTGGTCCAGGAAGCTTCCTACGTCTTCCCCGAAAAGAGGCCGTAGAGATGGGGTTGATTCTGAAAGGCGAACATCACCATATCTTTAATTTTTTATCCCCCAGCAAATCCTCTACCCGAAGGGAGGGAGAGATGTGAGGAAACGAAATTAAGGGTGAGGAAATAATCTGCCCAAACCAGTAAATAAGATTTCCCCCAGATATTTCCACTTAATTTCGCCCCTCCTAATCGTCTTCCCCACCAGATCTCCAAGATATATATACCTACCTGTGTCAGTCCAGTGTTTGTAACTTTTGCTTCTACCTTTACCAGTGCCTTTTGCTATTAACCAGCCTTATTTACCTGTCATTGATTACTGCACCTTTAACCGTCGTTCCATTTCCTGTAAAACCGTTGTTAACCTGCACCCCCTGTCGTTCCTTGTGTTGAGTGTGTTGCCGTTAGCCCTAGGGGGTTAATCGTAATTAGCCGTCGAGGTGAGTGAGTGTTTATAGTGTCATTAAAACGACAATCTTTCAACCCTTTTATTAAAACGTGCAAGCCGTTACCTCTATTACCCTGACCAGTTCCCAATTCCCCGAGTAATTCCAGTTCCTAGGTGTACTCCCTAGCGAACGGGTTACTACAACAAGTATTCCTCAAGATTACCAGCTACTCTCCGTACGTTCCCACCTGTCCGTGTCTTCAAAACAAAATCGGAGCGTGACTCCTGGTTTTAAACGAAGTACACCTCCGTAGTATCTTCCCGTCGCCCCGTCCTGCCTAAACCTGGGGCACAGTGCTCCCGCCGACGTTAACCATAAGGGGCTGAAAGCCGTCACGTGAAAGGTTAGTTGTTACAGTTCGAACACTCACCCCGCAGGTTCTGTTGGTTACCCCGTTCGGGTGGCGCAGCCCTCAATCCCGCATCAATTAATTTGTTACATTCTAGACAGCACTGCACGTGGAAATTAACCTACCGTCCGACACGAAAACGGCATTGACAGCAAACCAGCTGACACGCTGGGGCCAGATAACTACCGGCAGATGGCAGTACTCCCCAAGTAAATACGAGGACTGCTCCGGAAATCTTTTATATTATTTTATTTTGTATATATATATGTTTATTTCTATTTAGCCAATACACTTTTAATTTTCTTTGCTCGCCAATTATTTCCCGACGCTACCCGAGGCTGTGGGCAAAAGCCGGAACGTACCCAGGGTTGCTCACAAAGCTGGTACATTTTACTTATGTTTAACATAGGGGAGAGATATTTTTTGTAAGGATTCTTATTACGGGAGTAATGGGACTCTTCTGCAGGAAATTTATTGATGTGATCCATAATGCATTGCTTCACTTCCTCGTGCATTTTGTGTGGTCTGTTAAAATGTTTTCCCCTGCAATCAGGTGGAGAGGCGGACACGCCACTTTGTATAAGACTTTTTATAATGTCAATTTTTTTCGACCAATTTGAAATAGAGCGCACATAGCTTCTTTGCACACCACTTGAGTAGCACCATTTTTTGTTACACTATACACATATGTTGCTTCCTTATGTTTAACGGAACCTTTCCTTATCCTGGCCATAGCTTTTTTAGTTATGCATCGGAACAATAGAGCATTCTTTGCGTTTACGTCAAGTTTATGGAATTCTTCCAACATTGCAACTCTATCCTCATTTCCAAACCGGGTGCTGCAGTTGAGTTTTTTCTCTGCATAAAATGCCCTCCTTTGGAGTTTTCATAGGAATAAGTACATTTTTATAAGATAAGTAAGCCTCGCCTTTTTCTCTAGAAATTGACGCTTTCTTTTTTTTCCACATATTTGGGTCGGTGAAGAAAATGTGAAAACATTAACAGAACTTTACCCTTCACAGCACGAGGTGTATGAACTTATTAATAGGGATATATCTGACGATGTGCTTCAAACGTTTCGTAGAAGTTTAGGGCATGGTAAGGCATTTGGCGTTTCGTGGTTGTTGCAACTGCATGTTTGCCACAGTGAAATAAGAGTTTCTTCCCATTATAGAGGAATTAGTTTTCAATAAAGAGTATTTGGAAACGTCAAACAAAAATGTTATATCGAGAAAGGTGTCAATTAACACCAAAACAAATTACGTGCGTGGTAAAAAATACTGTAGGTCCAACCAATAATGAAAATTGGCACGAAAAAATCGTATCACTGCAAGTAATTTTGGTGTGATACTATCCACAATCCACAGGAATCGTTTTCAATCATCCCTTTTTAAAAGATTAATGGATGGGTATTACTTCACGTCAGTACGAGCGATCCAGTGGGGAAAAGGAAATGAAAAGTCTGCTGTAGAGACTTTCGCTTCTGCTTTTACCGAAATGGATGTCACACCTACAGGGCTGTGGTGTGGCTTTTTAAGAGCCTCACCTGATGAGCTAGTTGGAGACTATTCTATATTGAAGGTGAATTGCACAACGATAAAACATACATTATTTTTAAGGAAGGAGAAGAGTCAATGTTAAATTGTGAATTGTGGGTTAGTTTTTGTATATTTTCTCCATATAATAAGTTTAATTTACATTCAATTCGGGCGGCAGGTTGGGAATGTTTTCAGGGCAGGTCCACACTTAGAAGCTTACGTTCACTTCTTTCATTTTCCTTTCGAATGTAAGTTTCGCTCCTCTATCTGAGCTCTTCACTCTTCATCTTTCCTTGTTTTCTATTCTATGGGGACGGCTTTAAGGAGTACTCTATTTTCTGTCAGCTCCAGGGGATGGTCTATTTCTTATTGGGGATTTTACTGGGTTTTAATTTGTTTGGGGTGGGTTATTTCGCTTATTGAGCAATCTTGTGGGTTGGGTTTGGGATTTTACTTTATGTCTTGTCCATTAATTACGGGTTGTAACATTCCAATTTTCTATTTAGTTCCTTTCTCCTCTGTGATTTCACATCTTAATCTTACGATAAAATCGAACTGTTCACATTTAAAAATCTTCCTATTCTTTCTCTCAGCTTTTATCTAGGTATTCTTTCTTTGTCCTACAATTTGAATTTAGGAAACTGTCGTTTTCATTATTTGTATTACCTAATATATAAGGGGATTCCCTGGTTCTCTTGATTTGTCCCCGAATTCATTCTTCCTGTGGCATTGTAACACATTTTACTGTATGTAGTGAAGCTACAAATTCTTAATTGGGTTTTATCCTGCTCATCGTTTGAGGATCATCAATAATTGAAGCTCCAATTACGTCGTAATTATTACTTCATTACGTTTCTATTGCGATTTGGCGTTTTACGCGTTATGCGGATCATAAGCCACATGGCAATATAAAACTTAGGCTCGTTCAACACCTGTAGAGGTAAGTCAACTTATTATCACCTTGCACGGGATTTAGGCATTAATTCTTTTAGCCATTCTATTCGTACGTTCGTTACTGGAAAATAAATTTTATATTATATCGAATATTTTTTAACGGTCGCAGCCCAACTAGCAGAAATTAATCAAGATACTTTTAAAAACAATTTGTTTTGACCGATACGCCAAAGGCGACTAAAAAGAAAAAATACCTTCAGTTGCAACGTCTAAAGAGTATTTTAAAAGAAAGAGAACAAAAAATTAGACAAAAAAAAATATAAGAAAGAAAAATAAAACGACTAGAAGACAAGGGAAATAAAAACTGCAGGAGAATAGATTGTGAAGAAAATTCACAGGTTTCGCAATCCATGCAACCATCGAAGACATTGGAAATGATAACAGAAACACAAATAACCCGGGATCACTTGCTCAACTCGCTCGTGTCGCAAACGTAAACTTTCTGAATAATAGACGTCGTAACATGCTTGTAATCCCATCACGGAATATGTACCAGAATGTTAGATTGGAATTAACAAAAGGATGTCTGTCAATTTATTTAATATTTCTTCATTGAACATCTGTTTAACTTTCAGTCGATATCCGCACTTTAAAATGTGTACGAGGTAAACTTTTAAATGCGCTATGGTTGCTTTATAATTAAAGTGGAAGCACTCGATTTTTTCTACTTTGTAAATAATGACAAACTCAAAGGAGCGAGTAGTAATTAAGCAGTTGAAAGTGAGTGAGTTAAATGCCCATTAAAATAAGGCATCGACATTTCAAGTAATTTGCATAAGTTCTTCAAATTGTAACTTGCCCGAAAGGAATTTATTTCCAAGAAAATATCCAAAGAGATTGTGGCACGGGTATTGTTTCTCGTGACACAAAGAATCCCACTATACTTATTTTTTATAGCACATTCTTATGTCACAATCTACTATGTACGAGTATTTATAGAGCTAGCGGATGGCACAAAATAATTTATCCATATCATAAGTTTTTTTTTTCATTTGCCTTATTGAAGGCAAAAGTAAAACAAACTACGGGTAAATAGTTGTTTGCAATTCGACAGAAGCGGTGTGTGTAATTTGAACTGAAAATATGAATGATAGATTTCATTTATTCCTTCTTTGCAAAGAAAGGAAAAGATCCAGACTTACTGAAATAGTAAGCAAATACGTGACACGAATAAAATTCAAGGCACAGATAGGTGAGATATGGATTTGTAGAAATTTCTTAAAGGAAATCCTCTTATATGGAGGTGGTGGGATACGTATTCATCTATGTAGGCTAGGCAAATGGCAGCAATTCGTTTATCTCACGCTATATAACTCATATAATGATTTAGCAATTTATTATAATTTATTATCGCGGTATTTATATGACAAAAGAAACTAGGGTAATCACATTGTACTATAAACGCAACGTGAAAGTAGTGAAGCCAACCCGAAAAGTGTTCTTTATGTCTCTCTTGTTCTCCATAAATCGGAAAGCTTTAAATGGCTTTTGAAAGTTAAATCTGGTAACCAGTGGCTTAATGGGTGTACCAAGAAGCCACTAAAATTCCCTTTCTACTACCCTTGTTACGAAAGTTTGGACATTTTTATATCTGGTACTCGTTTCATTGCGCGATTACAATGTATACCAATAAGTGTCAAACACCATTTCTTCACTACATTAATTTAATATATATATATATATATATATATATATATATATATATATATATTTCGACAACCGATTTTCGTACGTGCTTACAAGAAGTGTAGTAGCTTTTGAATCGACACAGTGGCAATAAAGACCAGTTTTGCGAAACTAAGTGAAATAATTAGGGAACAAGTAATGAAAACATTGCGCCAAAGCTTGTGGATGCAGACTTTAGTTTTGCGGGTACGATAGCCCTTGAGCTGCTTAAAACCATTGCCGCTGAGGAAAAGAGGGCTAAAAAACAAGAGATTCTAAAAATTGTATATAACCTGAAGTAATATTAATGACCTTCTGCACCAACAAATTTGAGCAGAGCATAGCCAAAGTTTACCTTAAATATCCATGGTTTTAATTTTTTTAAAATTTTATACACAATCGGTCGCCAAGCGACAATCAATAGTTGTTTTCACTTACATAATAGGTTACAAGCATGGAGGATGTGTATCCATTGATATCACTCCTATATTGCTTTGCTGAGCATCCGGTAGCTAGAAGCGTTTTAAGTCGACGCTTCGTTACTGTTTCTGAATTTATTTGCTCTAGAAGACGAGGAATGAACTTTTGTGTGTTTTCTTTTTATTTAATTGTTTGTCTTATCGCCGATAATGCGCGTAAGTTTCGTAGTGAATTTATCCGTTTTGCAACAATTCCTGTAGGAATATTTAGATTGATTTTACAGTCGCCGAAAGTTCTCTTGCCGGAGAAGAATTAATATTTTAGAATTTCAGACATTATAAGCCATTATTAGCAGTGTGATAAATTTAAACCGAGAATTGATACTGAAAGGCCATACAAGTTTAGCCGTTAACCTGAAAGCGTCGGCCCGTTGATCCCGACATTGCAATTAATAATGGGTGATAATCGGAATACCGATTCTGGAAATTTGCATATGACCAATTAACCGAGTAAAAATAACCGTAGCTAAATAAATGTGTTGCAGAACCGTCATTCGATTGGGGTGTGCTTAGTGCCAAATGAAGCGCGCTTAATCAAGAAGAATTATGAGCCTAGTCCCATATTTTTTCCGTTGATCACCGGTCGCGCAATTAATCAAAGAAGTTTTAATT